ATTATTTGTCAGAAAAGTAAACAAAAAGATGGAATTACAAGGGTGAGTTTCAAAATTCGGAGGAATACTATCCGATCGGTATCGAGTTGAGAGTCGATGTTACATCTCCCATGCTCCGAAAGGTTTCAAATTGTTACCTGAAGACAAGGGAAAATCAATCGGTATTTGTTATTTTCCGTCGCTTCTTTTTATGTTTATTCAGTAAAGTAAGTTATTCAGTAAAGTTATTCAGTAAAGTTAAAGTATTCAGTAAAGTTAAAGTTATTCAGTAACATTTACTGAATCGGACAATGAACATATGAACATATGTTCATTGTCCGATCATAAAAATCTTTTGCAAAAGTGTTCGTTATCTGATTTGTTCGCTGTCCGAACTGTTTGTTAACTGATCACCCACTGTACTTTCTTAATTCCATTTGTTTTTATAGTTGTTGAGATAAAAATAATTCCTATTCCAGAATATAATAATGACAGTATATCTAGTTTCATTACAGTCTGATTCAATTTTACTTTTTTTCTAAAACGTAATTAATTTTTCTCATCTAAAATTAAGATACAAGTATCCATCTCACCCACAGCCAATCAATGAAATCGATCTGTCCAGAGACTAAAAATAATTTGCATTCATTTACCTGATGATTATATAAAAGATATTTTCAATAAATAGTAAGACTTTGTTAGAGAGTGAATTTGTGCTTCTTAATTTTGTCAATTGATCTCACTAGTGTTTAGGTGAATTAAAGTATATGAATACTGCATTACTTTTTGTTTGTTATATAAGCTGTGTAACTTGTGGATAATTTTATCTTTCTTTCTCAGGAGATAGATATAAGGATTGCCTAATTGAAATGAAAAGTGGAGATATGTCATATTTCATTGTGCAAAGTAGCAACTGATGGCCACCAGTTCCTACTTTGCCTAAGTTCAACATAGGCAAAGTGCAGGCTGCATTTAGTATAGCAGGAATAGATTTTATCTCCAGTAATTGGCAGATTAATTTTAAGTTAGTTACAATGGAAGCATCCAGAATTAAGCAATGGGTGAAAGTTTGATTTTTAATGGCTGAAGGGAATAGGAATGCAGACATCTATAGATGAATGAAGTATGTTTATGGTGAACAGCAGTGAATAATAAGTACTGTACAAGAGTTAAAGAAAAGACTGCAAGTCAATTCAGAATAAATTGAGACCAGGTCAGGCACACATCATAATCCCTGCTGCATCAATCACTGCTGTGGATAACAAAATCAGAACTGACATGAGTCGCAAATCATACAATCAGTGCATAAGCAAATTTGAGCAGAGGGATGGTGCAAACAATCATCTACAAATACCTCCAATTCAGAAAAGTCGGTGCACAATGGGTACTGAAAAACCTCATCAGAAATCACAAGACTATACAGATGTTGAGTCTACATAACCTGACACACTATGACAAAGATCTTGAGTTCCTCCTTAGTATTGTTGTAGGAGATAAGATAGGGTGCCACCATTACACTCCCAAAATGAAGAACATGAACAAGCAATGAAAACATCCATCCTCCCAAGCACCTCGTAAGTCTGTAACGATGCCCAGTGCTGGAAAAGTGATGTTGACTTTCTTTTTTGTTCTATGACCACTGTTGTTGACTTTATATCACCACATACAATAATCAACTCAGAACGTTATTGCAAAACTCTGTCACAGCTGCACAAAGCAATAAAGTCAAAATGCCCAGGACACCTCGTGCAAAAAGTCAACCTGCTTTACAACAATGTCCATCCCCATATGGAAAGTGCAACCATTGCCACGTTACAGAAATTCTGCTAGGAGATACTAGAACATCCGTCATATAGTCCTTATATGTCACCATGCAACTTTCACATTTTTGGACCTCTCAAGAATACTTTGTGAGGGCAAAAATTCATGTTGAATGATGAGGTGAAGGATAGAGTCAAAGAAATTTTTTACCAACAGCCACCAGAATTCTACATGAAGGGCATTGATCCATTTGTGAGATGCTGGAATCTTCGTCTAAACAAACATTGAGATTTCTTTTAGATTCACAATTAATTTTTTGACAGTTCTGATGTGTGTCCACTTTTCATTTGGGCAACTCTTATACAGCCAAAGCTGCTCAACTTACTATAATGCAGATTCTGATTGTGGAGAGAATACCATCAAAGAAATTCACAAGCACATGAAAATGGTTTATGGACCTGCTTGTCTTCCACACAATAGTCTACTGTTTTTCAATAGTGCTAGTTCTTTTTTGGTAGTCAAGCAAGCATTACAGACCAGCCAAAATTAGGAGCATCATGTCATGCTGTTTCATTGGCAATACAGTCGACCCCCCTATAATTATGGTCCCTATAGTTACGATTCCTATAAAACTACGAAAAAATTGCTACTGGTATCCGTAAAAAATAGTAAAAGTTCCCTATAAACACCTCAAACGTCATCGGGAAGCCGAACTACTTTCCCGCCGTCCGTAGCGCCACGCTACGGAGAGATTTCTATCGTCTGGACAGTATTATATAAATTATATATAAATTAGGTACTGTACATATAATTATATATTAATTATATATAAATTAGGTACTGTATATATAATTATATATTAACTTATTGTAACTTTGTTATAATTAAATATATAATTTCCGCCGTCTAGCGTGGCGCCACGCTACGGAGATTTTTACGCTAACTATCGTCTGTCAGTATGTAAATTAGGTACCGTAAGTCTAATACAGTACTGTAATTTTATACATTTCTTGTGAAAGAAACATTTCTTATTCAACGGCGATTAAAATTATTTATATTAATGATGTCTCCGAAGTTCTACGAAGTTTTCACAGAAAAATAAGTTGTTAGAAATCGGCCGCTCTTTGCTGAGCTGTTCCGCGACGAAAACAATGTTGAGCAATGGCAATGTCGAATGGTGACACTCGGTAAGTAATCCTACAATTTTTTGTTTATAGCGTAGTTTATACGGATTATTCCCAAAAAATATATACGTATTTTGGAAATGTTGAGTCGGATTAGTCTAGAATCGATTAATTTTATGGAAGAAAATCTTTCAAACAGCCGTAGTCCGTAAACTTGATACGTGTCGGGTTGTGATTGGAAGGATTCGTAAGAAAGCGGATTCCTAGAGAATGGAACGTATCTCTATCTTATAGGGGGGGTCGACTGTAATTGCATATGTGGATACTATAATAAAGGCCAACTAAAAAATCACAATCAAAGAATTTGTGAACAGTGCCGATGTCAGTATTGGAACAGCACTATCACATATTTGCACTTTATATATAATTTTCAAATAATCAACCACATGAAGTTATAAGAGAACTAGTTGAAATGGGAGTCTATATAAGAAGACTTGTGCAATACTAGGAGTGCTGGCAGCAATTATTTTTAGATATGTACTGTTATGATTCTTTTGGGCAAAGTCTCACTACTTAAGACAAATGATCTTGCCAAAATTATCAGGCTGCTTTTGAGCTATGTTAATAAGTAATTAATTCAACTAGAGGTAGGTGATCTCACTACTTTTATCTTTCTTTCTCAGGAAATAGATATAAGAATTGCCTAATTGAAATGAAAAGTGGACACATGTCATATTTCATTGTGCAAAGTCGCAACTGGTGGCCACCAGTCGCAACTTTGCACAATGAAACAACTGTATAACTGCTTATAACTGTAAATATAAAGTATGGATACTTGATGTGTGAGAATGGTGGATCATGCAGTCACTTTTGTCATTGGAAACACTTAATATCATAATTTATATACAGGGTATTAAAAAATAAGAATAGGTTCCATTAAGTTTAAAAAATAGGTTGAATAAACATAACACAAGAAGCATTTCCAGCTTTCAAGAAAAGAGAAAGAAAAAAGAAACAGCTGCATTGCAAACAAAAAGTGTGCTTAGGCATATATGACTGACAGATAAACTAATACCAGTGTAGGGAATCCGATCTGATCTAACGGATTTCATCCTTCCAGTTCATTACACAGAACTGGAACAACCAAATACAGTAACACAAAAATATTTTATTCTTCAATTCCACTTTCGGACTCCACCACTTCACTGCTCTTACTCTGTCTCCCATCCTCCTACCTCCTCTGACTGTCCTTTTTCCCGCCTTTACTCCTTTCCTTTTTATTGCCCTTTGTCTAATTTCTTTTTACCCTTTATGACTGCATGCAAATGGACCAACAAAACCGCAGTTGAGGGAGGACAAGGAGATCCAATATCACTACACCCCCGCCGCAACATAAGTGTTAGGGTGGTAACTCAAACACAGACCCGAACTGAACTCTCAAAGAACAAGGGTACAATAGAATTGAGCTTCTTGAGAATACATAATGTTCATATAGGCACTACACACACAATTTTCTCTTTACACAAATTATACTCACAATTTTATCACTATGTGTTGAAATAAAAGTTACTATTAATGTTACAAACACATTGCTGAACAGGAAGTATTGTAAATTCCACCAAAATAGTTCATTACTATATTTGTTACATGCTAGAATTAATTTTCATAAAATTTTACATTTTTTTCAATATTCATGAAAATTCCATGATTAAACACACTCAAGAAAACCTTTTAAATATGCAGCCGTATTTATTACATTCTAACGTTTTTGGTCATATTCAATGACCTTTTTCAAGAATAAATGGAAAAAAAAAAAAAAATCAAACTCCTAACTCTAAAATTTGAATTAAGGATACAAGCATTTTGGAATGTTTTTAAAAGGATATTCTACGGGAATAAAGAGTGCCATCTCTACATAAAGGCTGTCATTATGTAACCACAGTAGCTATTAGAACATTAAAAAGTATGACATTCAAGATATAAAATAGCATAAAAATAAAAATACAAACATACATAAAATACCAAACATAAACAATGTGATGCGCAAATACATTAGTTTAAGAGTCCTTAAGTAAGTTGCCACTTTGCCATCATTCTTGTCACTTATAATATACTTGCTCGCCAGGCTGCCAATACTTTGCTTGCATCTCGGAAGTTGATAGCTAATCCTTTTTGGCTGGTTTTGTAGATATGCCAGGCTTCAGCATACCGGAGGTGCTTTTTGTCGCGAACTATTTGTATCAATCTAGCTCGGTCCCATTCAGCTTTGACCTCTTGAGGATCAGCTAAGACGTAAGTCGCCAGTGCTGTGCATGGCTGTCTGCTTCTTATGTTTCTCTGGTGTTCTGACAGCTTTTCTTTGAGGGATTTTCCAGTAACTCCGATGTAGAACATCATATTCTGCCTCTGCGTGTCTGTAGCAGGGATACTGTAGACTCCTGAAAGCGCGTTCTTGTCCACAGCATCTTTGTCTGCCCTTAGCAATTGATAAATAGTAGGATTCCTTTTGTAAATTATACTTTTCTTTGTAGCTGCTCCTATTTGCCTATAGATGCTGCTCAGCGAGGCCTTATATTCCATCATTGTGAACTCTTCTGTATTTTGTAAATTTTGCACTTTGCCACGTGTCTTAATTTGGCTAGTAATAGCTTTAGTATTAAACCCATACCTCTTGGCTAGTTTATTGATGTAACACAGCTCTTCGTTTCTTCGCCAACATATAAACTAGCTGTATTCCGGGCGCTCATCACACGAGCTTACTCACACTGCAGCAGTACCCAAGACAGAAATGAAGTATCGGCAAGCAAAGTATCGGCAGCCTGGCGAGCAAGTATATTATAAGTGGCAAGAACGATGGCAAAGCTGCAACTTACTTAAGGACTCTTAAACTAATGTATTTGCGCATCACATTGTTTATGTTTGGTATTTTATGTATGTTTGTATTTTTATTTTTATGCTATTTTATATCTTGAATGTCATACTTTTTAACGTTCTAATAGCTACTGTGGTTACATAATGACAGCCTTTATGTAAAGATGGCACTCTTTATTCCCGTAGAATATCCTTTTAAAAACATTCCAAAATGCTTGTATCCTTAATTCAAATTTTAGAGTTAGGAGTTTGATTTTTTTTCTTTTTTCCATTTATTCTTGAAAAAGGTCATTGAATATGACCAAAAACGTTAGAATGTAATAAATACGGCTGCATATTTAAAAGGTTTTCTTGAATGTGTGTAATTAGTAAGAAATGCAGTCTACGATGAATTCCATGATTTCACAATTTTCCATAATCAGGGAAGTATCCTGTTTATATTTTGTATTTGACAGGATCATTAGATAAATATGTTTAACAGATGAAATGGTTAATAAAAACATCTGATAGATTACATCTTTTAACTCCAGTTTTATTTCATTTTTATGGAACAAAAGTAAAAAAGATATCTTTCCTTTTCTTATCAGTTTATATAATAAACTGGCTATGATTCTTCCTATTAGTAACCCATTTTTTTAGATAAAGGTGATAACTTTAAATTGAAAGAATATCAAACAACATTAGCTTTTAGAGAACTAATTAGAAAGGCATATTTCCATTGTTCTAGCAGAATAAGTTAGATTTTGCAGTAATCCTTTGTCTAAATCTAATATAAATAGCCTCAAAGAAGACTCAGTTACCAATATCATTAAAAATTAATAACTAATTTCAAATTTATTATTTAAAAAAAAATTTTTTTTAATCAAATAATCAATAAAATCATTTAATGACCTGATGAAGATGAAAATAATTATTGTTGAAAGCGCTTGTCGGTCTAGCAACATTTATTTGTAATTTAACACCTGTATGATAAAAGTTTCTCCTATTAAATGGTCGGCGTGCTGTCCACTTCTGTAATAAAATCATATTCAACCATAGCAAAAACATTTAAATTGGTTAATGTAATAAAGTTTTTTCTTCATAATTCTTTTTCTTTTTACTCTTCAAATGTATATAGAAATGATTTGCTTTTAAAACTGAAATTTAAATACAGTCAACTTGCCTTAAAACAAACACTGATAAACCAAATTTTCCTGTTGTCCTGGTAAAATGCCATTGTCATCATGTTAATTTTCACACAATAAAGCAAACAAAAATTTTACTATAATTCATGAAACAAAACTGTAAATTATCTTCACAGCCCCAAGAAATAATCCTATTTCCAATAATGGTTTTTTTTTACACTTTTTGATAAACAACAAAAAGTGGTACTTTTAAATGTTTAATTATACTTTTAATAATAAATGTTCCATTTTGAATAGAATAATTTTCTTCTCCTAGTAAACAAAGAAAAGTTCAATCTCCAATTGTATGCAAAAGTTTATCAACATCACTCCTCTTTAACAAAACACTATTAACAATTCACAAACCATTTATCTTCAACAAATTTCAGTCAGCTCCTCATAAGTTTAGAGAAAAAACAACTCAAGATCATTCTTGTAACCAAATAATCTTGTGTAATCAAGTACTCATCATGTAGGACTGATCTTCATCGTTTGCTAAGTTTTCTTCAAGATGAAGCTGCAGGAGAAAGGATACAGTTGGCCATCAAAGGGTTTGATACATTCATTCCAACTCAGCATTCTAATAACAGACAAGAAGATAGTAATTCTAAGAGAGTTAAATTATCATTAATACCTTCTGCAGCTGATTTGTTTGCTTCTTCCAAAGAAGGATTTCAGAAGATACACATATTTTCTTCTATATACCATAAGTCAGAGGAACGTAGGGAAGTTCGAAAAATGTCATTACAAGAAAGACAAGATGCTGTGGAAAAGACATATTGTTGTTTTCTTTGTTTGAAGAAAAGCCATACAGTAAGATAATGTATAATTAAGATGAGTTGCTTGATTTGCAACAATCATCATCATCATTTAACCCTGTGTAGAAGTTTCCCAAGGGTAAAAGTCTGTCCATCTGAAGAGGGAACAGATAAAGATTTACTACCATTACAACAAGACACAGCACTTTCTAATTTTACAAAAATTCCTTGTAATGTTGCAAACTTTGGCTTTTTCATTGAAAGGTCATAAAATTAAACACTGTTCATGCAATAATAGACTCTGGTTCTCAACATTCCTATATATTGAATTTCATAGCCAAGAAGATGCATTATAAATTTATTAGAAAGAAAGCTCTCCAACATTACTATTTCGAAGAGTTAATTCTGATATTTGTGATCATAACATTTTCACTGTGTTTCTGTCCAATTTATCAGCAATATATAATTGTCATTTTGATGTTCTTGGTCAGTCTATTATTTGTGAGGAAAAAAAAAAAAAGGTTCAACGTTACTGGAGCTTAAAAGATATGGTATTAAGTTGACTGATCTTGAAAGTGGACCAATTAAACTTCTCATTGGAGCTGACGTGGATGGTAAATTGATGACAGGCAAATATAGGAAGCTTGCTTGTGGCCTCACAATTATAAAAACTAAATCAGGTTGGATGGTCATGGGCCACACTGCTGAAACATCATCTAATAATACAGCCTTGATTGTTACTTCCATGTGGAACAAGAACATTTTTGTTTTGGATTTATGGACTCTTGATTCATTGGGTATCACTGATCCTTCAAAAAAGAAAAGTAAACTTAAACTTCATAAGACTGAAGAGCAACATTTTTTGAGCACTGTTCAAAGTGGATGATAGTGGGAATTTTGTGGTGCATTTACTGTGAATTGAAGGGCATTCCCCACTTCCAGAGAATTATGAACTTGCTTTCACGAGATTGAATTTGACAGTTAAGAAACTTAAATCAGATGATTTCTATCAAGCCTATAATGATATATTTCAAGAATGGCTCCTTGATAATAATGTAGCAGTAGTGCCTGTAAATGAAATGAAAGCTTCATGTCATTATTTTCCCCCTAAACCTGTAGTCAAGGAGAATAAGACCTGTATTTGATGCATCAGCTAAGCAAAAGGGATTCCCTAGTCTTAATGTCTTGAAAAAGAACTAAATCTTATTAAATTGATTCCTACAATTTTAAGTCTTTTTTTTTTAAAAAATAGATATAGTTGCAGACATTCATAAAGTTTTTCTACAAATCAGCTTGTTTCCTAATGATAAGAACTTTCTCAGATTTCTCTTTTATGGAAATGATGGAAATTTGAAACAATATAGGCATTGTAGAGTGGTGTTTGATGTATCTTGTAGTCTCTTTATTCCAGGAGCTGTGATCCAGTATCATCTTCAGTCAGTTTTAAAACTGATCAAGAAAAGGGAGTTGACGTATCCAGAAGATGCTATTTGAAAAATCAGAAAGAGTTTTTATGTTGATGACTATAACGAGTGTTCAAAGTAAACTAGAGTTACAATATTTTGTGCAAGTGGCTACAAACGTTATGGCTGAAAGAAAGTTTGGGTTGAGGGGATGGGAGTATATTGACCCTACTTTAAACTGTATAGCAGATACAAATGTTTTAGGAATAATTTGGAACTGAAGTAATGACACCCTTTAAATAAATGTGATGAATTTGAAAAAAATGTTTCACAAAAATTACAAAGAATTTAATTTTAGCTACTGCTCATCATATTTTCAATCCACTAGATATGATCTGTCTAGTTATTTTGATCCTTAAGCTCTTACTACAGTGTATGTGGGAGGTAAAATTAATCTAGAAACAAGGAACAGTCTACAGAGATTAAGTCTGAATTTTTTAAATGAATTTAAAATATTTCTCTCTAGGACAAGGATTCCCAGATGGTTAGATGATAAAAACACGAATGGAAATTGTTCTTTACAGTTATCCTAGGATGCGAGTCAATCTGCCTACACTGTGGCATTTCTTTATTCAAACTGAGTTGATAGATTCTGTTAAAGTTCAGCTCTTACAAGCTTGAATTAGAATCTCACCTTGCAGCAAAAGACAAGCTAGAGTTACTTGTAGCTACAATTGCCTCTCAACTTTCTTTTAATATATAATAATAAGAATGAGAAAGTATATTTTTGGACAGATTCTACAACAGTTCTTTTTGAATAAAAGAGAAGCATAGGGTGTATTTGTGCATAACTGACTTCAAGAAATAAAACTTTAGACACAGAAGGAGACTCGGAGACATGTTCCCAGAACAATGAATCTTGCATAATTTGCTGAGATTGAAGTGGTGGGATGGTCTGGATTGACTTTAACTTTCACCCAACAAATGGCCTAGTACTGATTTCGTTGTGAATGAAGAAGAGGTATATAGTGAGAGAAAAGTGAAGAATGTTTCATCCCTTTTAAATATAGGAGACAGCAGTTTGATTCATACTTACTTCTTGAACTATTACAAGACAGATTGGATCAATTTGTACACAACTGTAGGAATCAACAGATGAAGGAAGGTGATCTTTTTGTACCTGAAATAGATTCTGGAGAAAAAGTTATTATCTGTATCATACAAAAGGAATCATTTGAAGAAATAAAGGATAAATGTCTGAAAGCTCTTAACCCATTTTATGATGAAGGAATTATTAAAGCAAGTACAAATGTGTGTCAGAAAAATGATACTTCAGAATTTAGAATGCCTGTGATATTATCTGGGAAACACAATTGTTAAATGGTTAG